TGTGTATCAGTTTATCTGTTTTTCTTTCTTTTTTTTTTTTTTTAAGATTTATTATGTAGTATTCTGTCTGCACGTATGCCTGCAGTCCAGAAGGGGGTGTCAGATCTCACTACAGATGGCTTTGAGCCACCATGTGGCTGCTGGGAATTGAACTCAGGACCTTTGGAAGAACAACCAGTGCTCTTAACCTCTGAGCCATCTCTCCAGCCCTTATCTGTTTTTCTTAACTAGACTTTTTGGTTTATACATGTTTTGTAACTAAGGATGGGACAGAATATGCATAATAATAAAGTTAAAGTGCCCAAGATATGAAATATTTGAAAGAATGCTAAAACTAAAGTTTTTTAATGTTCTGCTTTTGGTTTTCCAGGGAGTCAGAATATTATGACTATGGACATGGGGAGGTTCAAGATTCTTATGAAGCTTATGGTATGTTTTCTGTGGCAGGGTAAAATGTATAAGTAAGTGTCTAGAAAAATGGTGGTTGAATTTTCAGGAGCCAGGCAGTTACATACACACCTAAGGAACAGTAGAAGCCTGCTGCACTGGTAAATAAAACATTGGTAGTTCCTCTTTTTTTGGTTTTACGAGACAGAGTTTCTCTGTATTGTTTTGGAGGCTGTCGGTCCAGCCTGTCCTCGAACTCACAGAGATCCGCCTGCCTCTGCCTCCCAAGTGCTGGGAGTAAAGGCGTGCGCCACCACCACCTGGCTGTAGTTCCTCTTAACTTTTATGGTGCTGTGTGTCTTGAGCTGAGATCTAGCTTAGCTGAATTGGTACATTTCTCAGAGGATGCTGATTGGTTTCTGTTAGGTAGGACATGCTCTACTCTCCTGCCCCTCCCTCATTTAAAAAAAGAATAAAAAAAAGTGAACTTTCTTAAAATAATATTAGTGCAGAAGAAAGAAGAAAGCAGCTTATCATAGCCGATTAGAAGGCAAAAATAGCACCTGTTGAGGCTTCAGGGGCGGAGCTAAGTCACATCAGTAGCTCCTTCCTAGTTGGGAGACATCTGAAGTTAGATTTCTTCCCCTTTAAAATTTTTTTAATTTTTGCCGAGCAGTGATGGCACAAGCCTTTAACTCCAGCACTTGGGAGACTGACAGGTTGATCTCTGTTAAGTTTGAGGCCAGCCTGGTCTACAGAGCGAGTTCCAGGACAGGCTTCAAAGTTACAGGGAAACCCTGTTTTGGGGGAAAAAGGACATAAATGAAATTATTTTTACTCATTTTATCTCAAATTCCTCATTTCAGGTTCTGAGTTATGCAGCTGATTCTTGACCTTAATTTTCTGATTCCTCTACTGGGATTGCAGTATATGCTATCATGACTGGTTTTATGTGGTGTCTGGGGATGGAACTCAGAACTTCTTGTGTGCTAGACAAGTACTCTATCACCTGAGTTTCATCCCCAGTCCTCAACTCAGTTACTCATCCCATAAAGGAGTTCAGGCTGGGAAGGTAGCAAAACCCAAACTGCCTTCTCTGAGGTTTGGTTGGAAACACAGTGCTCAGCTGTATCCTGAAGAGCTAATTATGGCTTTGTGTTAATGAGTCTCTGAGGATATTTGTATGCAGTGAGAGCAGGCTTTATAAACAGAGGTCTTCTGCATCCCTGAGGAATTCCTTGCAAAGAGGTTTAGCTGCTAACAGTTGATCTTAAGATACTCTACAGAGATTTAGAAAAGGAATCTACTGGGTTCTCCCTTAAGATGCTTAGCTTAATTTACTGGCATGATAATGGCATAACAAATCAGATCCTGACCCTCACCCTAAAACGGTTTTTACCAGTTTTAACTAAATTATACTGCACTGTTGCCATAGTAACATTGCACCACTCATGTGTCACTGTTTGGAAGGTAGGGTGATTATAGCTCAGTATTTCCCTCCATCAGTGAGGCAATTTAAGAGTTTCTACATGTGTTCCTTGCTCTCCTCTTTACTTGGCCTTCCTTGATCACCATGGATAATCTTTCATTTCTGAATTGTCCCCTTTTTTCTTCTTAAAATGATGAAAGATTATCCATGGTGATCAAGGTAAAGAGGAGAGCAAGGAACACCAGTAATGTGTTAAGATATTAGAAGAGAGGCAGTATTGTTGGTGATACACACCTGATGTTGACCTGCCCTGGTTTGGCAAAAAAAAAAAAAAAAATTGGTCCATGGTTTATAAACTGTTTATGCTCTTTCCACAGGACAAGATGACTGGAATGGGACCAGGCCATCATTGAAGGCCCCCCCAGCTAGGCCAGTGAAGGGATCATACAGAGAACACCCATATGGACGTTATTAAAACAAACAGGAGGGGAAAATATCAGTTATGAGCAAAGTTGTTACTGATTTCTTGTATCCCAGGATTCCTGTTGCTTTACCCACAACAGACAAGTAATTGTCTAAGTGTTTTTCTTTGTGGTCCCTTTCTTTTCCCCACCTTCCTCCATTCTTAACTCTGCATTCTGGCTTCTGTATGTAGTATTTTAAAATGAGTTAAAATAGATTTAGGATATCGAATTAATTTTTTAAGTGTGTAGATGCATTTTTCTTTGTTGTTTAAATATAAACAGTGTACCTTTTATAATAAAAGAAGTTGAGTAAAAAAAAAAACACAAACATGTTAGTTTCAAAAGTGGCTTTGCTTGCTTAAAGGTTCTGAAGTAAAGGCTTGTTAACTTTTTCTTAGTTTTGATTTGAGGCACCCCGTAAAGTCATAGTTGCAGAATCCCAAACTAGGCTACATTTCAAAATTCAGGGCTGCTTAAGATGTAAAACCACAATGTTAACGGCAGTAGGTGCCACCATGTAAAAGTGAGCTCAGATGTCTCTAAAAACATTTCCTTTAAAAGCACATGGCGGTTGAATCTTAAGGTTAAATTTTAATATGAAAGATCCTCATGAATTAAATAGTTGATGCAATTTTTTAACGTTAATTGACTTAAAACAACAACAAAATTAGGTTTGTAAAACTGACTTTTTCATTATGTGGGTTTTGAAATCTAGCCCCAGACATACAGTGTTGAGAGATACTCAGTGGGGGTGGGAGGGAGGGAGGGTTTGAATAAGATTGATGGGGGAGTGGAACTGGTCACCTAAATGGGATTTGATGGAGTACTTTTTAGCCACAGTCTTTTCAGTAATAGTACTGATAATCAAATTTTCAGTATTTAAAATGTCAGAGTATTTTGTCCATCTGAGATTCTGCACTCCATGAAAAACTCACTTGGACACTGGGGCCAAAAGCTGATGATGTTCAATAAATTGACCATTGTCAATTTTGAGCTGTTCCCAAGATAGTCAAGTATGTCTCAACACTAGCATGATATAAAAAGGGACACTGCAGCTGAATGAGAAAGGAATCAAAATCCACTTTGTACATAAGTTAAAGTCCTAATGGATTTGTACCGTCCTCCCATTTTGTTCTCGGAAGATTAAATGCTACATGTGTAAGTCTGCCTAAATAGGTAGCTTAAACTTATGTCAAAATGTCTGCAGCAGTTTGTCAATAAAGTTTAGTCCTTTTTTAATCAAAGTAAATGTGATGAATTGTCATTTTTGGGGGTGGACAATAAAATAGTTTTCTCTTTCATATAAACTTAAATTAACTCTAAAGTTAATGGGCTTGTTAAAAGTTGGAGACATTCTTAAAAGTGGTGGTTGGGACTTTATTTTAAGTTTACCAAAACAAAAAAAGTTTATGAGTTGTTAAGTTTTAGTTTAAAAAGAATCAAAGCTTTTTCACCCCCTGGAAGTTGTTGAAAGCAGTTTTTAGAGAGAAAAATCCAACCGACTAAAACAGATTGGTTTTCATGTAAAGGTATAAGTACCTTAATTAATTGCCAACCACCCTACCTTTCACCTTCTGTAGAACCCTTAAGTGGCCTTAAAGAATGACACCAAATCTCTGGGCTCAGACATCGATTGCACCTGTGTTGAGATACCACAATTTAGCAATACTTGGATGCCGTTGAGGGTGTCCTCTCCAATCCTAGAGATGCTGTTGGCAATTCAGCTGGCTTGGGAGCAGGAGCTGGCTTGGTAGGCTGGCCCTGAACTCCTTCCCATAAGACTATGTAAGAAAATGGAATTGGTTGGCTCTGTTTTCACTCTTAATTCCCAGGGACTTCATTTCTTCCCTAAGAGCCACATAAACTGCTCGGGGGTGAAAAATCCTCTTGTGTGAAGTGCCGAGCTGCCTGTAGCAGTGCATGATGGGCATTTTTTTTTCTTTTAAAACACACCAACAAAAAATGTCTTTGTAGATTGTGATAAAGTGTAAATAACTGAGTTTTCAGCCATGGTTTGAAGTCAGCTTTCAGGGCATTGTGTCTTGTTTGATGAAAAGAGATCACTCTATGCCCCCTTTTTAAAGGAAAATTATCGCAAGAGAATCAGGATGTGTAAAGCTAACATGCATCGCAAAAAACCAAAGGTAACCTAAATGTCTGATTTTAATAGCACATATTTCTCTTTTATATAAACTGTGACAGCAACTTGCATAAACAATTCTTTAGTTGTTAATTTTCATGTTAAAACTTTGCAAAACTTGTTTAATAAAAATAGCTGTAAAAAGAAAAACCATATGCTGCCGCATAAATTCTCCATAACTCTTAATAATCCTGCCCATCACAAATGAACTGTAATGTTACCTGGGCACAAAGTCTGACATCTTAAATGACACATTGTAAACGTTCGATGACTGTAGATGAGAAGACCTGCTGCACCCCAGAGTAAAGCTTTCTGCTGAGTTGTTTTAAAATATGCAAGGATGAGCCCCCTAAGACACCATATTGATATTCACAGTGCAATGTTATTTGAATTTTCTGAAAAGTTGCATGTTTCTTTCCTGTAATGTGTAAATTGCATGCAGGATCTTTCTCTTTTATTTTGTATATCTTTAAAGCTTCTTCTAAAGACTCATCCCTGATTTCTCAATTTTCAGGTGACTGAAAATTCCTGGGGCTTTTCCTGGAATAGAATGGGTATCGAAGACCCATGTCAGGTATGTTAAGGTGGTTTTAATTGAGGACGGTAGATGTGTCCTGATGGTGAAGCAACAGTGCTAGGAGGTGGTTAGCAGCCCAGGCTTTCCTAAATTTCCTAAATTCACTTTACCGCATTAGTCTCATGTCTCTGTCAGTTTGCAGAACATAATGAGTATGTGTAATAGTTAAGACCAGGCAGTGTCCATTCTCACCTGTTGAATTCTGCTTTATACTGCCAGTGATTCCCGGAAGCAGTGTTTATTTGGAGTATGTTTGCAAACCACAAAATGGCTAATGGAAAGAAAAGGGAATTTCCTCAATGTCAGGGAGGCATAGGTTTTAGAGGAAATCTAACTTGGGAACCATAGTGGATGCAGAAGAATGGAGCATGCAGGGGTCTTTGAACTGCTGCTTGGTCAGGATTACTAGCAAGGTAAGCTCTGACCTGTGCTTGGTTTCTTTCCTCTTCTACCAAACATGCAGGTTCTGTAGAAGAAATAGCAGACAGAATTATCTTGAGTCACCTGCCCTTACTCTAACAGTCTTGTAAGAAAAACTAATGCCTCAGAAAGGAAATTGAATGTGGTATGGTTATTCAGAATGTTGTCTCAGCCCTTCAAGAGTTCAAAGCAGTGGGCAGTGGTAGCACACATCTTTAATACAGCACTCTGGAAGCAGAGGCAGGTGAATCTCTGTGAGTTCAAGGCCAGCCTGGTTCAGTTCCAGGACAGCCAGGGCTGTTAGACAGAGAAACCCTGGAGAGAGAGAGAGAGAGTGCCTTTAATTCAAGACCAGCCTGGACTACAGAGTGGTACCTTGTCTCAAAGAACTAAAAACTGGATGGGTAGAGGTTAGTATTATTAGGAAGGGGAAATTTATACCAGGCAGACAAAAGATAAGTATAATAATTGCTATAATTTACAGAAATGATTGTGTGGTGGAAAGAACACAGTAAGCAGGCATGGTTCTGTGCACATCTGTGATACTTAGCCCTGGGGACATGGATGCAAGGGGATCAGAAGTTCAAGGTCATCTTCAGCCTACAACTGGATACAGTTGAATCCAGCCTGTATAAGACACTGTACTGGGAGGTAGTTGAGCACATCTTTAATCCCAGCACTTGGGAGGAGGAGCAGGCATATTTTGAGTTTGATTTCCAGGCCAGCCTGGTCTTATAGGGCCACCTGAATGCGGAGATCAAAGGCAACCTGGTATTTGTATGATTAAGACCCTGTGTTAATCAGCTCCACATGTAAAAAAGAAACTAAAATTCATGACAACCCATTCAGTGTTACACATAATAAATATTACTATTCTTTTCCTTAGAAACCCTTTAATTATACTTTAACTCTGATTGGCAGAGTTGAGGGCTTTTAGCTTTCCTGTTCCTTGAAGTCATTGAGATGATAGCTACCATATTTTTCCCTTTGTTAGAGTTGTATTGAGAAGAAAGGTTCTAGCTAACTAGGTCAAAGGAGGGTGTGGGTCTGTGTGTATCCTTGGGAGTAAAGTTTGGCTTCTTGGAGCTGCTTCTTCCAAACCCTGTGTGTTCATGTGTCCGTGTGTCCGTCCTTGGGAGTTGTTTGGCTTCTTGGAGCTGCTTCTTCCAAACCCTGCCACAGTGCCAGTACTTTCTGAGAACTGGAGGCTAAGAAGGGCGATGTATGGAGTGCTGTGTTGTTCTGGACACCCTGAAGACATTGGAAGTTTGAAGATTGTGACTGGCCAGGAAATTCAGATGAGGAATCCCTAATTCAAAGAATTTAGGGACTTCACTGCAGTTAAGCATACTTGCTACTCTCGGAAAGGACCTGGTTCTGATTCCATGCATCAACAAGGGCAGCCACCTGAGACTCCACTTCCTAGGGATCTGAATCCCTGTTGACCATCATGGGCACCAGAAACACAAGCAGTGCAACCAAGTCATAAAACATTTCAAGACTTTACTCTCTAGGGTCATCTTGTCTTTATAGGCACCAGGTATGTACATGTTTGTATGTAGGCAAAACACTCACGCACTAAAATCTTTAAAAAAAAAATAACTTGTGCTGGGCAGTGATGGCGCCTGTCTTTAATCCCAGCAATTGAGAAGCAGAGGCAGGTGGATCTCTACAGAGTGAGTTCCAGGACAGCCATGGCTGTTACACAAGAGAAACCTTGCCTTGAAAAACCAAAAAAAAAAAAAAATTAAAAAAATGTAATATGAGCCATGCTGTATTGGTATATGGCTTTAACCCCAGCACTTGGGAGGCAGAGGCAGGCAGATCTTGAGTTCAAGACCGTCTTTGTCTAGAGAATGAGTTCAAGGACAGGGAGGGCTACACAGAGAAACCCTGTCTCAGAAAAACAACAAAATATATGTGTATGTGTCTTTTTACCTTTCACAATAGGTACTAAAGTAGTAGTTGGTTACTATTAGCTGGTGTGTTATTTAGTGTCACAATATGACAGACCTATTAGATTCTAGGTAGGTAATTATAAAGCAAGTCTTGTGAACTACACTATGTTCTGCTAAAGTAAGGAACCTGCTCTGATTGCCTTGTATTGAACTGCCTCTAGAAATTCAAAGGCTAAACTCTTAACATGCCCATTTACTGTTTATATACATGATTTGTATGGAGCTTACAGGGACTTTTGGCAATGACAAATAATACTAGAACACACCTTTCCTTGTCTAGGAGTAGAGCAATTATCCAAAGAGTCAGAGTTTATTTAGTTTTGCACTCTGTCCCTCAATTGCTACCCACTGTTCTAGGTAAGAATGAATTTAGGGAGTGAGTTCCAGAACAGCCAGGGCTCCACAGAGAAACACTGGGGTGAGGGGATTGCAAAGAAATGACTGCTGTGTAAGTAACAGGATTATCCCTTTTACATCAGATACAACATTCTATCACCTCTGTTTGCAATGGTCTTTCCAATGAAGCAGATAACATCCCTTTAATAACTTAGGTGTGTGAATGCATGCGTGTGGAGGCCTTAGGACAACTTTGTAGAGTTGGTTCTCGCTTCCACCTTTAAGTGGGTGGGTTCATGGGATTCAATTCAATTCACCAGACTTGCACTACAAACACCTTTACCCATTGAGCTATCTCTCTGGCTTCATAATTTTTTATACAAAATGAAACATCAACCTCAAAAGTACCAGTAACATGGCCAAAGTCACACAGCTGTTATGTAGCACAGATGAGATTTTCAGGCAGTATGTATGATTTTAGCATCCGATCATTCTTAAGTATATACTGCATTTAGAAGGACCTTTTCCTGCCAGCTAAAGCCATTTTGGAGAACCCATCCTCATTCATTTTCCTGGAAGGAGTCTTCTGCCAGTACATTATCACGGCATGTGAGCCTTGATGAAGTATGTGAGCTTTTACGATTGCTGTGCTGAATCACAGGTCTTCATCTTTTTATCATCCCTGCCTTCAAGAAGCTGATCTTACTGGAGAGGGTAAGGCCTATGTAATACAGAGTATTAGAAAGCCTGGAGTTGTTGAGAAGCCTCAGGAGTGCCAGAGGGGAGAGGGAAACTTAAGTTCATTAAAGGATGACTAAGAATTTACCATGTTAAGAAAGAAAACATAATACCTTGTTATGGCTTTAAACAGATTTCTTTGTGTGTGTGTATGTGTTTGTTTTGTTTTTGTTGTTGTTTTGGTTTTTTTTGAGACAGGGCTTCTATGTATTGCACTCACTCTGTAGACCAGGCTGTCCTCAAACTCACAGAGATCCACCTGCCTCTGCCTCCCAAGTGCTGGGATCAAAGGCGTGCGCCACCAACACCTGGCTAAACAAATGAATTTTAAGTTCTGCCATTTCCAAAGTAAGTTTTTAGAACTCTAGTCCAGGTCACCATTTTACTGGTAATTGCTTACTTCTCAGCATTACTGTAACTGAATGAGCAAATGTGATACAGCTTAGTTGGTAGAGTGCTTGACTGGCATACATGAAACCATTGATCCTTAGCACCACATAAATTGGACGTAGTGATAATAAATACTAGCTATAAATAGAAGAATAGGTTAGGGTCATTTTGAAAAGTGAGATTTAAGAAAATGTTTAAGGTCTTAGGACAGAGATTTTAGAGTCACACTTACCATGTTTGGCAATGGTGCTAGCAAGGTAGGGGAAAGGAGAAGTGCCACGTCTTTCCTGGAGAATAAAAGAGATGATCCTCTCCCACATCTTGTCTTCCTTTTACCTGAAGTCATTTTTGATTCCTATTTGTGCTGGACAAGGATGGAATGTTTGCACTTGGCCATATATTTATAGTAGTGTTCTGTACTTTTTATTTACTTGTGAATGGGAAATCAAAACTCTATTCTCAAGTATCCCAGGCTAACCTTGAATTTCTGATCCTCCTACCTCAACCTCCTCAGTCCTAGGTATTTGTTGCTGGTGCTTGAACTCAGGGCTTCATGCAGGTACTCTACCAACAGAGCTTACATCCTCACGTTTTTAAAACTCTTTAAGGACTGGAGGTTGGGATGACCATCTTATTTTTTGTTTGTTTGTTTACTATTTAGTCATACTGGCTTCATTCATAGAAATTTGCCTGCCTCTGTCTCCCAAGTGCTGGGTTTTCAGGTGTGTGCTACCACATCTGGCACTTAACGTCAGAATTCTTGAGTCTCATTTAATAGCAACTCTCAAAGGGTAATTAATCAAATCTTAATTCAACTACCTCCTGAGTAGAAGAGTTTTCTGCCTCATTATTTCTTTTTTTTTTTTTTTTTGAGACAGGGTCTTACTTTGTAGCCCTGGTGGTCTTGGAACTCATTATATATACCAGGCTAGCCTCACAGAAATCCACCTGCCCCTGCCTCTTGAGTGATGGGATTAAAGTCATGTGTCACTTGGCCTGACCTCTGCCTCTCTTTTAACTTCTCAATTCTATGCTCATTGCTGGGAGTATCCGATTTATTTCTCACAATTGACGGTGTGAGGCTAGCATTGTTGCTGGTCTATAGTATGCCACGCTATATGCTAGTCCAGCATTCTTTCAGTATATAGTGGTTTAGAGGATAACAGCATTGAAAAGCTAAAATCCAAATCTAAGTTTTAGACTCCTACTTAACTGTTGCATTCTGGACTTTGGTAATTTTAAGTAACCACAAGATCAATAAGTCCACTGGAAGATGCTCCCAACCTTGGGGTGTAGAATTCATGCTTCTGACTTGGCTTCTTGATTCCTGAAGTTAAAAGATTTGAATTCTTACAAATTTACAGCCTCTTTAGACTCACATGTACTCTTACATGCCAGATTAATAGTCATTGCATGCTTAAAACTAGCACACATCTGATGAATATTTAATAGCATCTAACAGACAGGCTTGGAAACAGCTGTTTGAAACAGCAGCTGTTTGGGGGAAGGGAGGAAGTGCACTACATTGCCTTAATTACCCATTCTTTTGTTTCCAGGCCTAGAGAAAGGCCTGTCTTTTCTAGGCCTTTGTTAGCAGCAAAGTTTTATGGTGATGAACCTGAACCAATGGGGGCCAATTAACAATTTTCCATATCCTGCGTTGATGTCTTTTTTGTTCTTTAATATTTAGGATCAAGTATACATTCTCATCTAGTACTTTGCTAACTGCATTTCTCCTACAGGAGAAAGACTTTGTGTGTTGTCTCACAGCCGTAATCCCTAGTGCTCAGCAGACAGAAGCAAGAGATAAAAGGCCAACATTTACTACATAGCAAGACCCTAACTATAGACAGTTACACTGACAAACTTGTGTCTGGCAGAGGCAATTAATCAAATCAAACATTCAAGGGTAGCCTTCATTATATAGTTTAAATTCAGTCTAGGCTCCAGAATGAGACTTTATTTTAAACAAATTTCCCCTGAAAAAATTTCATATCCTTAGCTTCTTGTCCTTCCATCTTCTTTTTCTGTTATTTCTGTTCTGTTTTGTTTTGTTTTGTGATAGGGTCTGACTGTGTTTTACTGACTGGTCTCAAACTTAGAAATAACCTGCCTTTGCCTTCCAAATGCTAGAGTTAAAGGCACATGCTACTATGCCTAGCTTTTTTGCTGGGGAGGGGGCTGTTTTCTGTGTATATGTGTAGACCTGTGTACCATGTGTGGTGGTAAGAAAAGGGTGTTGAATATCCTGGGACTAGTAGGACTGGAGTTTACAGACAGTTGTGAGTCACCTTGTAGGTGCTGGGAATAAAACCCTAGTCCTTGGGAAGAACAGCCAGTACTTTTAACCATTGAGCCATCTCTCCCGTCACCTATTTGGCCTTCCTTCCTTCCTTCCTTCCTTCCTTCCTTCCTTCCTTCCTTCCTTCGTTTCTTTCTTTTCAGTTTTTCAAAACAGGGTTTCTCTGTGTAGCTTTATTAGACCTTGCTGCCTGGCTTCAAACTCCTAGAGGTCTGCCTGTCTCTGCCTCCTGAGGGCTAGGATTAAAGACCTGCACGATCACTGTCCCGCCCTAATAGAATTTTTTTGTTTTTTGTTTTTTTTTTAATATGAAATGCTTCACGAATTTTCATGTCATCCTTGCACAGGGACCATGCTAATCTTCCAGTTTTAGTATATGTGCTGCTGAAGTGAGCACACTAATAGGATTATTAATAAACATCTTTCTAGAAACTAGTATAAATGGTCCTTTTAATCCTTTTTTATATATTGACTTACAAGGTAGAATATGCTGTACATTAGTCACAGGAAATTGAGTGATCAGTAGTAAACATAAGTTCCTCACTTCAAGGAGCTTACAGGCTATTTTGAGGAATGAACACTACACTGAAAACTCATTAACCACATAATTTCAATTATGAGGTGTTCTTCCTTGGAACTCATTCCTCTGTGGGAAGTTCCTTCACATTCTCTTTAATGTGCTTATAATACTCAAAATTGTAATAATTTATATTGTGATAAGCTCTAAAAAGAAAATCAGTCCATTGAAAGTATATACTACCTGGATTTTCTTTTTTCTTTTTTTTATTATTTATTTTTAAATTTAAATTAGAAACAAGGTTGCTTCACAAGTCAGTTCCAGGTCCCTCTCCGTTTCCCTCCCCTCCTCCCGTGCCCTCCCCCAACCCCCCCAATATCCCCTCATTTCCCCAGGGAGGGTGAGGCCCTCCATGGGGGTGTCCATAGTCTGTCATTTCATCCAGGGCAGGGCCTAGACCCTCCCTACCTGGATTTTCTTAAGGAAAGGGCAGTTGCCACCTAAAAGAATACTTGGATGTGTTCTGGGTGCTTGGGAGATGGTTTGGGGAAAGACTACTGAACACTGAGCTAAAGCAAAAGGTAAGAATGAGACAAATTCAAGGTCAGATAGAATCTAGACCTTATGTGAGTGTGCCACTTCCTAGGTGCTTGTGCATACTGTGCAAGCCCTTCTACAGAACCAGACCCCAACTCATATTTCTGATTTTAAAACTTGCTTATAAATGGAAAGCCTGTTTGGAAGCCTTGTTAGTCCACAACAAACTGAGTGAGGTTTGTAGCAGGCTTGGGATGTATCTCAGTAGTATCCTAAGTGTAGTCTCGAGTACTATGTTTTTAGGCAGCAATTGCCCCATGTGAACAGAAGACAGCTGTGTGCAGTTGGTCCTCTCCTACCTGTATGTGGGTTCCAGAGATTGTACTCCGATTTCCAGACTTGCAACATGGAGCAGTTGCACCTTTATGCACTGAGCTATCTTGTTGGCCCAACCTATTTTACTTTTTTTTTTTTTTTTTTTTTTTTGGTTTTTCGAGAAAGGGTTTCTCTGTAGCTTTGGAGGCTGACCTGGAACTCACTTTGTAGACCAGGCTGGCCTCAAACTCACAGAGATCCGCCTGCCTCTGCCTCCCGAGTGCTGGGATTAAAGGCGTGCGCCACCAACGCCCGGCTCTATTTTACTTTTTAATCGAGAAAGGGTCTCACTATGTATCCCTAGCTGGCCTGGAATTAGCTATATAAACCAGTCTGGTTTTAACTCAGATCCTCTCTCTGCCTCCTGATTGCTGTGATTAAGGGTATGTGCAAGCATATAGCGTACTATTTTTTAAAAAGGGAGGGGGGCACTAGGAAATCTTTAAGTGAAAATATAGAGAACTAAGTAGGTACAAAAGCTCTTAGAACATGATTTAGTGACTGACCAGATATGGAAGAAGAGATATATTAAGATTATGGGCTGAAGCTGGACATAGAAGGTTTAGCAGTCCTTGAAGGCAGGATTATCTATCTGTACATTTGATTTCTGCCCTGTCTCAGAGAGAGAGAGAGAGAGAGAGAGAGAGAGAGAGAGAGAGAGAGAGAGAGAGAGAGAGAGAGAGAGAGAGAGAGAGAGAGAGAGAGAGAGAGAGAGAGAGAGAGAGATTATGGACTGAAATAACTGTAGGCATGGTGGTACATAACCACAGGACTCTGGAGGAAGAATCAGGTAGGTCTGTGAGTGCGAGGACAGCCTGGCCTACAGAGTTAGTTCCAGGACACCCAAGTCTACAAGAGAAACTCCGTCCAAAAGGAAAAAAAGAAAGAAGAAAAAAAGGGTGGTGGCAGCTGGGCTGGGAGGGAGCTCAGCTTTGGTCTCCGACACTCAACACTCGTGTCCACCAGCTCACAACACCTATAACTCTGGAGGGGTCAACATCTCTGACCTCCAAAAGCGCCTGCACGTGGGACCTTGTGCACCCTCGCAAATACACATCTTTTTGGTTTTTCGAGACAGGGTTTCACTGGTTTTGGAGGCTGTCCTGGAACTCGCTTGGTAGTCCAGGCTGGTCTCGAACTCACAGAGATCCGCCTGCCTCTGCCTCCCGAGTGCTGGGATTAAAGGCGTGCGCCACCAACGCCTGGCTACACATCATTTTTTAAAAGATTTATTTATTATGTATACAGATCTCATTACAAATGGTTGTGAGCCACCATGTGGTTGCTAGGAATTGACCTCAGGACCTCTGAAAGAACAGTCAGTGCTCTTAACCTCTGAGCCATCTCTCCAGCCCTATACACCTAATTTTAAATGTCTTCTCAGTAGTGGGTAGAATCACTTCTGAGGGCTTTTTCATAACATCAAATTCCTGCCCTGTGTCCAAGCATAAGCAGTGTCCTTTGTGGATGACCCTGGATTTGAGGGGCAGGGATGAACTCTTTTATAAAATCAGATGGACCATTGGACCTAAAATTGAACTCCCCCCCCCCCAAGAGTTTTTGAACTCAAGCCTTTTCATGTCTGGGAGCACCAATGCATTTTCCTATTTAGAAAGCTGGAGGTGTTGGAGTGTGGTAGTACACTCCTTAAATCTCAGTATTATGGAGGTAGAAATAACCATGTCTCTGAATTCAAGGCCAAGGCTGTTCTACATAGTGTGGTCCCAGTTGTGACTATATAGTGATACTCTGTCAAAAGCAATAAGAAATAAAAATAAAACTTGAAAGCAAAGTTAAGGCCTCAGAGGTTTAGTTTGTTTTCTCCCAGGTCACTCTGCTCTGTCATAGTCAAGGACCATTACCTGACTGGCTGGGTGATACCTCATCAGTTAAGAACACTGGTTGCTTTTCCAAGAGGTCCTGAGTTCAATTCCCAGCACCCACGTGGCAGCTCACAACCATCTATAACTATAGTCCTGTTGCATCTGATGCCCTCTTCTGATGTGCAAATGTACATGCAGACAAAACACTCATACATAAATAAATCAGAGAGAGAGAGAGCTCACATGGCCTGTGTACTTGTGTCTTCCGCCCATCTGTGTGTACCTAGGAACCTCCCTGCTGAATGTAACAACTGGAGTGAAGCTGTGGAAAGGCAGGGCTGTAAGGGACGAATCCAGACCAGATGAAGGCTGAGAAGCCCCTGTCAACCTCAAGTGTCTTAATTTTCCGCTTTGTGTCTTTGCAGCTGTCAGAGGACCCTGAATACCAGGAGCTACCTGCTGTATAGAGGCTGGCCTGGGGCATTTGCTGCAATGCAACATAGACACCTGAGAGAGGAGATCAACAATTCTGTTTCACCCTCCTACCTCTTGATCTTGATCCTGAACGCCAGCCAGGATCTTAGGAGTCTTAAGGCCCAGACTCAGGGCTTCCAGAGACTCATTGCTAACAATTCCACCTACTCAAACCATTTTAGTAGGAGGGTCTGCGGGTTTAACTCGGTGGTTGAACAATTCACTAGTGTATATGGAAGACCTGGGCTCATTTTCCATCACCTCATAAACAAAACATTTTTAAACGGCTTTAAAGACTTGAGAGGGAGTTGGGCATGGTGGCACACATTCTTAACTCCCAAATTCAGGAGGCAGAGGCAGGCAGATCCCTGAGTTCTAGGCCAGCCTCGTCTGCAGAACAAGTTCCAAGACAGCCAGGACTACACAGAGGGGGGCGGGGACAGGACTAAATGCCTGACATGGACAGAATATACTCAGCTCCTGTGCCACTTTCAGTATCTAGTTTCCCCTTAGTCTCTATAGAATGTGCTGGAACACCCTACTACTGCTTGTTCTCACCCCCACCACACCTTTGTTGGAACCTTCAGCCTTCAAGCCCGTAGACATTTCTAGAGGACTCCGAGGAAAGATAGTCCCCTTGTCTGCTAAGGAAAGTCAAGAATCATTACTTTAGTCATGTTGTTACAAGTTCTGAGTCTGTTCTCATCTTTGCTGTTAGCATTTGTCTGAAAAGTTCTTGAAGGATGAGGCTGTTCCTGCTTCATCTGTGTATCATACAAGTATCTATCTGTCCCTGCATGAGGAGTTCAATAAAGGTTTGGTCAAGTGATAAATGGTTCTACTCTAATAGCTTCTGTCAACTTTGGGAGAGCCAAGCCCAGTGTTTGTTGTCGCGCCCACCCCACCCCCAAGCTATATTGCCAAGCATTTTTTCCTAAAATTTTCTCTCAAAAGATTAGTAGGTCATCCACAATTTCCAGGTATAAGATAGCCACAGAATGTTTCAAAATTTCAAAACAAGTCAGGCATCTGGATTCAAATTTCAGCTAACCTGTGTACTCTTTGAGGCCTGTTCATTCCATATGTAAGTCCTCCCTGCTTAATGGGATCTGAGAAACAACTATTTTAAATGCCCAGTACTCAGTTTGTACAGAATATTGCTCAGTATTTAAGTTTCTGTCTTTCAAGGTTCCACATTTCTCCCGTTACCACTTAGAGCACTAGGGATTTTCACTTTGAGAGTTCTGTTGTAGGGTGTTTGGCCCGACCACCCAGCTACCATGCTTGTCAGTCACCTGCAGCTGAGAAGGATGACATCAGCTTTCCCCAAGCCTCTGGATGCTCTGGGCCTTTCTCTAGCTGTTACCAGGGTGATGGACTCTCAAGGGACTGGGGTGGGAGTGTGGAGGTAGGAATGGCTCTGGAAAGGTGGGTATGAGGCCTGGCCAACAGCCAGAACTAGGCTCCAGAGGCCCCTGCTCTGCCAGCTGGCTTCCCTTTCTTGGATACTTTAGTCGTTCCCTTGCTTCCAGGCCCTTCTCTGGCCTTGGATGCTGTTTGATCTTAGGTGAGTTGAATTTTTCTGGGTTTTTATTTTGACAATCCTGTCAGTGGGAGATCTCCATCTACGTGCAGGTAAGTTGAAAAATTAAAGTATTGTTAAGTCTGTAATGCTGTGGGGGTTTTGTTTGTTTTTTGTCTTTCGAGCCAGGGTTTCCTCTGTAGCTTTGAAGCCCATCCTGGAATTTACCCTGTAGATCATGCTGTCCTCCAATGCACAGAGATCCACCTGCCTCTGCCTCCCAAGTGCTGGGATTAAAGGTGTGCTCCACGCCACCATGCCCGGCTATAATGACGTGCTTTGCTAGTAAATCACGAGTGGAGAAACTAGACCCCTTGCTGCTTTCTGATTAGTGTCATCGGGAAGGGAGGGCAAGGTCTCACTCTGTATTCCCGTCTAACTTCATACTTGCCTCAGCCTCCTGAATACCGTAATTGCAGGCATACACAACCACACCTGTCCCCCATTGCCTTAGTGGATACTGCTCCCACACAATGACATTTCTCCCCTCCCCTTCACATAGTAACCTTAGCTTTTGTGTGTGTGTGTTGAGACAGGGTTAGTTCAGGCTGGCTTTGAATCCTGGTTCTGGCTCCAGCTCTTTACTTACTAATCGTCTTTATTATTTTGAGTAGGGTCTCCCTATGTAGCCCTGGCCTGCCTCTGCCTCTCAAGTGTGTGCTACCGTAGCTGTCCTGAGCTTTTTCTAAGGTTCTCCGGTCTACCTAGACTGACTGGATGGCATAGGGTAGCTTAGTTGTGCCTAGTAATTTAGAAGCCCAGTTCATGTGTGTTGGGTCCTAGGATGCAAAAGTCTACCTCCTCCCCCCAGTCCCCCCCCATGGCTTCTACACCTTACATCTTCCTGGTTGTCACACCGTGACATGTGCACCATTCACTAACCCTTTCTCAGCACGTGTGAGAGAAGAAATCAAGACAGCGTTTAGGTCCCAGCTCCTGCTTTGCTTCTCTGTTGCTTTTTGTATGTGGCTCCCTCTGTTGGGATGTTCATGGGGAAATAAGATCGGATCTGAGACTAACATTCAGACCAATCTGAAGGGAGTTACTATGGGGGGGCATCCTGTTTCTCATAGTATGTCTCTGCTATCTACTGCCATTAAAACTCACACGTAACTAGGAATTAATCCTAATTTTCCAATTAGACAGGTTTGACGACATGGACTCAAACTGAAATTCCTTGCAGCACTTGGATCCTCAAGTCATCCTATCAACCTGTTTTTCTAGCTTCAATTGTCTTTTGTTTTCCATTGCTGTAGTAACATCCTGACAAGCCATTTGGGAGGGAACAGATCTGTTTTATCAGTGCCACATTGCAGGCCATTAGGAAGTCAAGGCATCAGGAAGCTAAAGCACCATCCACAGTCAAGGGCTCCAAACCCAGGGGTCTGTCCTCCCACTTGAGGTAACATGCATATGATCACCACAGGCCAATGTCATTGACACTCTTCTCCTGTTAATGTGTGGCAAGTTGACAAAAAAAAAAGTACAAATATTCTCAAGCCTTAGAAAGAAAGGCTAACCCTGACCCTTTCTGCTGCTTGACTCCCCACTTCAGAGTACAGGCCCTTTAAAACAAAAGTGTTTGGACAAGCAAGCCATGGTGGCACCTGTCTTTAATCCTAGCAGAGGCAGGTGTATTTCTAAATTTGGAGGCCAGCCTGGTCTACATAGCTCCAGGCAGGCCCCCCAGTGGCTTGCTTTATTATCTCTAACAAAAACTGAAGAGTTTGACAAGAACATAGTGGCCTTGAAGTATGAGCACTAATGTATACATGGGATGAAAATGGTCCAAGAAATTAGAACATGAAGCCCCCAATGTTCTTGTGTTGAAATCATCTAAATTTTCTTTCTGGTAGACCAAATTACTTGGGTGCTGGGGTGGCTGCAGGTAAAATTTCTTCAAAGCCTTTACTTTGGTCAGTCACCACAAGGAGGGAGGGGGTAATTAAGTTTCTTGATATTTTCTAACATATATACTGTGAACATAGCTCGGTCTAGCAATTGTGGCACACACCTTTAATCCCAGAACTCAGAAGGCAGAGGCAGGCCTGGTCTACAGAGTGAGTTCCAGAACTGGCTACAACTCTACACAGAGAAACCCTGTCTTGAAAAAAGGGGGGAAAAATCTAATTTTACCTGACTAGGTTCACTAATTACCCTTCCCCTCAACTCAAGCCAGTCACTTTAATGAAGTAACACAAATGTTGGAATGCTCTGATTTGCCAGTCATTTGCCCACTGGAACTGAAAGGAAATTGACTCAAGCACAAATGGACAGAGTGAGGAAGGCTAATTCCCCAAGGAGAATTGGTTTTCTTATTGGGAGAAGGAATGGATGTGGAAAAGGCAGAGTCATACAAAGTGCACTGGAACTAAGTTACCCTTGCGATTGTTTCATACCCATATGGTACAAGCACACTTTAAAAACAGAAATGGTAGTGCTAGAAATGAACCTCAGCACCTATGTACAACAGACAGGCACTGGACCATTGAACAAAACCCCTGAGTTATAGCATACCTATTCATCTCTCAGATGCCAGGTCTGACCCCTCCTATTAAGTTGTTTTTATACTATCCTCTGCCTTTCTCTGAACTTGGTATAGTTCAATAGTAAATTACTCTGTTTCCCCATTAAGGAGTAGCAAATTGTCATCTCTGTGTCCCCAGGATATAGCAGTAACTAAAAATGTTGCCAGGTGTCTCCCCCACATTCCCAGATTTGGCCTGGCTTCAGTGCATGCCTGGGGCTCACAGGGACCAGAGGACAGCACCAGATCCTCTTGAACTGGTGTACAGAAGTCGTGGGTGCTGGGAGTTGAATAATGGGTCTTCTAGAACAGCAAGTTGTGCTATCCAGTGTGCTATCTCTCTGGTTCCTCTCCTTTGTTTTGATTTTTTTCGAGGCAGGGTTTCTCTGTGACTTTGGAGGCTGTCCTGGAACTCGCTTTCATAGACCAGGCTGGTCTGGAACTCACAGAGATCCGTCTGCCTCTGCCTTCCGAATGCTGGGACTAAAGGCGTGCGCCACCACCGCCCGGCATGGCTCCTCTCTTTCATTATCGTCTAATTTTGTGAATGTGTGTGATGGGTGTGTGCATGTGAGTATATGTACACGAGTTGCTGTGTCCTAGTTAGGTTCCTCTTGCAATGATAAGCACCATGAGCAAAAGTAGTGTGGTGAGGAAAGGATTTATTTCTGATTACAGTTGTGGCTCGTCATGAGGTTGAAGTGAGGGCGGGAACCTAGAGACAGGAACTGAAGTAGAGGCCATGGAGGAGTAATTACTGGACTGTTCCCCATGGCTTGACCAGCTTGCTTTCTTACATATCCCAGGACCACCTGCCCAGGGTAGTATCACCCAATCACACCACAGTGGGCTGGGCTCTTCCACGCCAATCAGTAATCAAGAAAATATTGCCTATGGGCCAATTTGACAGATGAAATTATTCCCACATTATAGATGACCCTGATTTGTGTCAAGTTGGCAGTTATACACTGTGACGCTGGAGTTACCGGGTCTTCTGTAAAAACAATGTGCAATCTTACCCACTGAGACATCTCTCCATCCCCCTCCTTGTCACTTTTGGTTGTTGTTTTCAACAGCTGAGTGCCCAGATACCGCATGATTAACATTTCAGTGAAGCCTGCTCTGCCCATCCTATTTAAACTTGCACCCCGAAAACTCTTTCCTGTTCTTCTGACATTGCCTTCCAACATACTACAAAATTTACTAACTTTATGTCTGTCTACTCCCTACTCCTATAATTTAAGCTGTAGAAATCTATAAGTGTCTTCTAATTGTTTGATTAATAGGTGTCAAGCACTGAGATACGCAATGAAGTCACAAGATGATTGCTTATGAGACTGGGAATATAGCTCGGTGTAGAACACTTGCCTATCATGTGTGAGGCCCTAATTGCAATATCCATCACCCCACCCCCACAGACTGCTCATCAGTCTCGAAAGGGAAGAAATCACAGTAGCAGCTCCTTTATAGACTTCCTTCCTCTGTTATGTTTGCCAAACATAAAGATGGCTAACAATGATTAAAACAGGTATTACATGGATTATCTCATTTAATCTTCAACACCTGCTAGGTAAATTGTGCTTTCGTTAGGTTTGATTTCCAGCTCAGCATAAACTTATTAAAGTCTGGAGAAGAGAGAGGAAGAAAAGGAGGAGGAGGATCAGAAATTCAGAGTCATCCTGCAATGCACAGCAAATTCAAGGCCAGCCTGGGCTACCAGAGGC